TGTTCGCACTTCGAGTACCAAAGATAAAGCAAAAGACAGTATTGGGTCGTCCAAAGTACGAGATATATCTCGGGACCAAATCGTGGACTGAAGTGAATGCTTAGCTGGCTAGTGATCGTGCACGACGGAGTACCAAATGGCATGGATGCTTGACTGGAAGCCTTCAGCTAAACAAGTCGACTTAAACAGTGATGGTCAGCATCCAATGTTGAGTGGTGATTGCTGTGGTCAATAATTTTGGGGAAATATTTACCACTACACTCTCCTTTTGTTTCCCAGAATTTATTGCAAAAAAAAAATATTCAGTACAGCTGGTTTACTGCTATAAACAGCAAAATCCTGTTATTTGGGCATCAAAAAGTTGATAAGCATTTTTATTTCGTGAGATAAAACAAAATATTCATCATAAATCTTTTACCTCATTGGATGCTACGTCCTTGAATTTCCACCGGCCTCTCAAGTTTACGTTTCCGCGGCATTGATGTAATCTTTGCTGAAGATGTAGGTTAACATGATTTATTTTAAAATAATTGGGAATATGCAAAACTTCCAAAGACCAGGCTTTAGTGAGATGTGTAGTGATTTTAGTTGTTCAAACAAAAATCATTCTATTATCCCAAATAAAAATTTTCAGGACTTGCAAGTCGGTTTTAAGCGAAAAATTATGCCTTCCCCCACAATTTTTTTCATTTAAATGCTCCAGCATGTCTTAAAATTTCTCATAAAATTTTTATCTGAAGAGTTGCATGTTTAAAGAAAACATTCTGGAACAGTACTTTTCCAGATATATCAATGGTTATCCAAAAATCGTCAGAATATCTGTAATACCACGGAGCCCTTCAAAGGCTTTTATCGATGCTGCCAGTTTTTGAACTAATTATATAAAATTCGAACTACACATAATTATTTTGACCAGTAAACAGACGATAGAACTGGAGCCCGCGACCTCTAGAAGTGGCACTTGGCTGCTTTAAGTTTATTCATCATATTAGGCAAAAGTCACGTACATTTCTGATCAGCTCACAAGAGGCAGCATTGTTTGTTTGATTTCACCCACTATATTTTAAGACTTTTATTCAATCATTAATTTACATGTCAAATTGAGTGTTCAAATTGCTTAATAATCCGTTCCGTTTCGTTTCGATGTATAATTCTGACACTTTTGTGTTCTCTGGGACATTATTTTATCATATCTTCTAATATAATCTATGGTTCACCCATCATTGTCTAGCAATGGATAAATGAAAAAAATACCAGTTAAGTTTAGGCCAAATTACTTACTGTCACCTTCTTTACTTATGCTATAGTAATGAGAACCGCACTTTAATTGTCCTTCAGGATTAGCGACCTGAATGTTGAGGAAAACCTTTTGAGGAAACACGCAGCTGGGACACAGCCACACAAAATGTGCCCAGCTGCGTATATCCTAAAGTTATCATTACGTTTTTGTACAGAACGGCTTTTACATATCTGTAAATATTGAATGATGTCGGTCGATAAGAGACTCCAAACTCAATTAAGTGCTCAGAAATTACACTTGTGTTACACACACAGGAGGCTCAAATTCAAACAAAAATTGGCTAAGTTACAATGGTATGATAAAGCCAAAGGGTGGATAAGATAATTAACTAGTAAGTAACAGTGGTGAGTTCAACTCAGATCATAAAAATCACAGAAAAACAGAATTACATTATTGCAAAGAGGTATATGTTAAAGCCAAGGATTATGAAATCAAATGAAACAGAGTAAAAGTATCCAGTTACCAGGGTAAGGAAAGATTGATAACTACGTCCTTCTGAACTCACAGATAAGAACCCAGGTGTTTGTTAGCGATTGCTTCAGTAAACGTGAGGAGAGATGAATTAGTTTGTCTGCTGGCAATTTTAAAGGATTTCAGGGTAGCTACCTCATGACCCGTATTGACGAGATGCCTGGAAATGGTACTGTTGAAAGCAGGTGTGCCGTTGAGATATAGGATTTTCGCTACGCGTTCAAAAAATCGAAGGTGTGCCCTTCTTTATGTTCTCCTAGTGTAACTGCTTCCGCTAGTTAGTTATTACTCAAATGGGCTATGGACCACAGCTATTGTGTAAGGGCCAATGATACTACCCAGTTGAAATGGGTGGATTGGGACTCGATTCTGGGACCCGCTGACTGTAGTTCGACTGTCTCACACGAATCATGTTCTTTACTATATTCGGAAGGTAATCGTTACTTTTTTAAACATCTTTCTGAGAATAAGGAATTGTCTCTCTAATTTCCCTTTAGAGCCTATTCTCCTGGCTCTGTAAAGTGTTTGGCCAGTGCTCGTTTATGGTTATGTGGAAATAAATTAAATGAGTGTTGTCCATTACAAGTCCGGAGCTTTCTGTCTACCGACTTCATGTAACATTTAAAAAAATGTGAAATTCGTTCTGTGCATAAGCTTAATTTTTTTTAACTGTAATTGGCTGATAAGAAGTTACCGAAATAAACCATGTATCATGTACAGCCCATTGTTCTTGCTTTATTCAAATTCATAAAGAGGAATAAATAGAAAAAGTTTTCGAACAAAAGTCATGCTTTTTTAGGCGTCTCAAGCAGCAAGAGCGCCATTAACTAAATCTCACATACTTTTAAGGTTTTGTGGTTAATGCGTTACATTGATCCACATTTACACATTATTCTCGTCTAAACGCTTGCATTCTATTTGAAGTACACAGATTATTTAATTTGTCTGTCTGTCTGTCTGTTTTCGACATAGAACTTTGCACTGATGTGCGGCAGTTCAAGTCGCCACACTCCGTGTAGCACACAAAGGAAGAGAAGAAAGTAGGAGAAATGCATAATATAGACAGTAAACAGAGGTGTGAGACAAAGGAGTAGTAATAACGAAGAACGAACAGTTTCGTCGGAAATCATAATGTTTGCCTTCACCTGGGTAGTTTTCGTGATGTCTATTTATCCACAGAGTGTGATCTGTTGGTAACACCAGTTATGTTATTAACCTTGATTAACTAAAGGATTTTGGTTACTCATTCTGAATATTTGGAACGCTGTCGTGTCATTTACCTGTTCGTACGCTATCTTTAATTATTGTTTCGTTTTTAAGCCATTTACCAGAACTTCACGAATCTTCTTCTAAACATATTAAATAACTAGTTTTATCTTGTCAGATGTAATGATTACTTCATCACATTTCACCCATTGGTGCTTCTTTAAACTACGATCCCCACGCCAAACCCCTGATTGCAGAATGAAAACTACATGTTCCTTTTTCACTAATTTCATGCATAATTTAGGCTGTTTGTAGTTAAAAAGAAGCTTCGTAATAAAATATGCATGTTTTATGCTGCAAATATTATCTTTCTTGTTCTAATGGTGACATATAAGTGTTTATGAGTACATAAAAACTCCAGACTCGCATCTTCTGGTTGAAATTCGACTGTTTAAATGAGTTAGTTATAACTTCAAAAGAGAAATAAAATCCACACAGACAGAGAAAAATGGCAAGAATGATAATGGAAAAAGCCAATTAGCTGAGAAGCGCATTAGTATATACTCAATATTTAGACAGAAGAGAGAGAGGAATAAACGTTCTCCGAGGTGAACATACAAAAAATCAACGAGCCATCATATACCAGCTACACAAAACGTTTAAGTCTTTTAGTCCAGTGTAATACTTAGGTTTTGAATAAAATAGAACATGAGAAAATCTTGTTATTCCGTACCAATTAATAGAACACTTATTTCACATCGCTTTTAAACTTAAAGGCAACCAATGCTGACAAAACCTTTCAAAGGAATCTGCACAGGAGGAATAAATTCTCTGATGATTTAAATTCTTTATTACTTGGCATGAGTTTTTGACTAAATAAAAAAGAAGTCCAAAAGTCTTACTATCGACCAAAGGATGTCAGTACTGCTGTGCAGTTCTCTCCGTCCTCCATTATGGCTGTGAAACATCACCATTGGAAACATGAAAATCCTAGATATCTACGTTCTATCTCCCGTGTTAGGTGGTATAATAGGGGGGAGTAATATTGAGGTTACACGTCGAGTGTTGGAATCCTTGGGATTCCAAAAATCGATGGCTGTAGACAATTGATTGAGGATATCTATGCACCGTCTTGTTCTTTGAAAATTATATCTTGTAGTTGTTAATAGAAAGGAAATTATTACTTTGGATATGTAGGTGAAGTTTCAATTGTATGGCTTAGCTTGCTCCCGCTGTCCGAAGATAAATAGACACTGCAATATTTAGTCAAAGTTATTATGATTTATTTACATCTGTTATGTGCTCACTTTTAACTAGGTGGGTGTGTATGGCGTTTTCAAGTGTTGTTTTCACTTCAATGCCTAACCATGTAGAATGGTGATCTTTCCAGGGTTTGGAGACTCCTTATTGTACATTTGAGGTAGTCAGCTTCATAAAAACATTTGAACTTACATATACACATATTCGATGCCCGTGTGTACGATATTCCATTTCGTAAACTTCATCTCCGAATTCACGACAGGAAACAGTCCTTCTTAACATCTTTTCCAAAGTTACCATTTAGTTCTGTAATTATCAATTTCATTTAGTAAAATCACATTGTTTCTGTGGGTAGAGTGATTGATTCTGGTCTCATCGTTTCACTCATGTGCTTCTTGGCAAGCTGGTCAGCCAAGAGGAAAATAATTCTGTGGTATTTCTTTTAAGCCTCTTGCAATTCGCCTACTTCTAATGCTTTTAATTTTGGTTTACGATTTTCAGTGCCGTAGAATTACTTATATGGTTGACAAAACCAACTGATATGTATGGACCTACGAATTAGAAGTCAAAACTTTTCGAGCATTACTTAAGCATCAACCTGTAGGAGCAGATCGACATTTCCAAATGATATATTTGTGCAATCCTACGAATTCATTTCTCATTGTTGTTTGGGAAAAAACTAGGTGCACTGTTTAATATGGAAGAATTGGTAATTTCTGTTTCTTAAAATATTGACTGCGAAGTTAATCTTTTGCAAGCGAAAATGGAAGAATTTAATCTTGCAGAGGAGTATGATTCCTTGAAGTCTTCGAACGATCCTCGTGTTGCTTATATAAGCGGTATAGCTGTTGCCCGACCTCCAGTCGTAGGTGAGCTAGCAGTCCAATATTACAACTGACACTCCAGTTATATTTTAGGATTTATGTGACAAAACAATTATTTTTTCAAGGGATATATATATATATATATATATAACGTAGGAAGATGTGAATTTTGGAGAATGTGAGTTATTATTCTTTTGGTTTAATTTCGTACACTATGGGACAGTTTTATTTGGAATATTCTCAAGACTTCGCATATGTCACAACAGCATGTAAATTTTTCGTTGAAATCATTTAAGGCACTGATCATGAATAATAGGGGTGACACGTCTTACGAATATTGTAATGTTTATGCATTTGCTTTGAAAGTAGTTACCGTCTTATTTCCTATACAATTATACTATATCAGAGAAACGAGGTTGTAACGTGCATTTCTGGTGTGTGTGTGTGTTTGTGTGCTGTTTAAGCCTGAATAGGTGTGAATTGCAGCTAAAAACATGACCCACTAGTGTCCGTAGTTGGATGCTTTGAGGAGAATCACAGTTTTATGGACCTTGAAGTCTTAGCAGCATGAAATGTCTTATTGAAGCCACAAACTTATGAAACAGATTTAGGAAAAACGGTATATACTGTCAGTAATGTGCAGTGTGTAGCAGAATACTTCAGTCTGACAACTTAGCTTTTCCCCACATTCGTTTTTTTTTACTAGAGGTACCCATGAAGTGAAAACCCATTGTAATTTGAGGCATCTTCTACTCACTGTTCACGTATGCAAATTGTTTTCTCCTATACTTTAAATTTAGATCCTTCTGATCAAAAACGAACAAGAAAGTTCCTACGCTCAGTTACTCTAATACAACTTCAGGCAATGTAGTTCAAACACCGACTAATTCACCAGTCACTACTGCTCTGGGTATTGGCAATTCACTATAAAAAAGTCGTTGATATTTGTCTGTATGCTAGTTGTTGTACCATGTACTCAACATTTTTCAATATATTTGTCTCATACTCAAATGTTCATTTTTGATTGTTATGCTGCTAAATGCTCAATTTTGTGCAGTACTTATTGTCATTCTTTTGCTAGAAGGTAAATTAATTAAATATGTTGAATATGCCACTTAATTTGGGGATTTGCATCATCTCAAATAAAGTGATCACCTAAGAAATCTCAGCATGGATTCGGAATGCTTGTTGGGTATTTAACAAATGTCTACATCTTCATTTTCAGCATAATGTCCACTTGCCGATGAGATGATGTACATTCTACACAGCATTTTAGTCTTTTCTGTTTTACGGGAATAATACATAGTTAGTGAAAGTGGACGACATGGAAAAATTACAGGTTTTTGTTCTGGAATATATTCTTTTTATTAAATGGATCGATATATGAAGTAGTAATAAGGGTAGATGTAGAGTGTTGGATGGGAGAATTAGTCGGTTGATGCAGCCAGGACACCTATTACACCTTGAATCACCGTCTTCATCGACTCGAGTGAGAATTAAATTGAAATAGTTTTAAAAGTGGTTGGACCAAACTGTGACACCACTCCATTAAGCTATTGACCGTTGATTTTCGCCACATAGGCGTGTATAATTTATCGGGATTAGATTCTAAGAATCAGTGATTGATGATTATTTGTGAAGTGGCTTGATTAACTTTGTCTCGTTACTTTAATTTGTGGTTCTTAAAAGTCTGGCAATTCAAAGCGATATATGCATATGTACAAAGTTCTGTATCAGTTTGTCAGTAAGTTACTTACTTTTATAACCGTGAAAAATATTCTGAGTTCAGTGTACCATCTGTAGCTTTCTGTGCACCTCCATATTCATATGTTTTGTATGCTCTATTCACATTTTACTAATCTGCAATATATTCGTTGGATAAAAAGGAAGTATCAGAAATCCTTTCATCAAATTATTACTGTGTTGTTTACAGTTTATAATGTTTGAGTCTTCACATTTAACTGACAACAGTATAACAAAAAGTCTAAGTTAGAGAACCACTGGAAAACCAGCTGGGAGTACTGGACAGCTGTTTCGTCAGCCTAGTTTGGGACTCTTCATCAGTACGCACCCACCGGGATTCGAACCCAGGGAAGCCGTGACCAGTAGGGTACAGCAGGTTGAAGATGAGGCAGTAACTCATCGAAGAAGACATTGCGAAACGATCGCGCTATGTCGTGAATTGGCAGAAGTTAGAATTCAAGGACCATTGGATCGAGTCCCAGTGGCTCAATGGTCTACGAGCTCGCCTTGTAACCAGGAGGTCCTGGGTTCGAATCCCGGCTGATGCGTACTGATGAAGAGTCCCAAACTAGGACGAAACAGCTGTCCAGTACTCCCAGGTTTTCCAGTGGTTCTATCTCTAACTGATGTCAGCTCATGATGAAATCCTCCATGCAATCGAGCAAAATCCCTACAAAACCAATACTTGAAAATTGTCTGAGTATTCAACCGGTTGATTCAATTTAAATCACGCCTTATTGTTAAACCATTGTTAATTCTGATAAAAAAGCCTGTAAAAATGACTGCATGATATGGCTGCAGAATCATTGCATCCGGAAGTATCCACAAACTGTCAAGCCCCTGCTTGATTTGTGTCATACTTTTCTAAACATCCCTCTTGTAAATTACCTGAAAATGTTCGCTAACCAATCCATTTTTGTCCACTCACATTATTAGAACATCTGATATAAAGTGTTGCAGGTTGTACAGAAAACGGCTTGACTGCTTGGATAGCAGGAGGATTATGTTGTCAGGGAATACTTTTCAATGTGGTCGTAAAAGGTGTTATATACCTTTTGAATTTCCTCATGAGTCTCATATTAGCACCAGTGCCTTTGAAACTGTCTGTGAAGATTTCGATAAAATAAGTATGATAGAAGTTTTCGTTGCATAAGAGACCCTTTTTTTAGAAAGAAGGAAATCAAATCTTTGAGTGATTCTGCAAGAATATTTTAACAAATTCGTCTAAGGTCAGCTAGTCGCTAAAATCACGATTTTCTGAGTGGGTCAGTAGCTTAAATTCTCAGGTTTCGTGTTATTATATTTACTCTAGTTTAAGAGGTCAGGTTTTGTTATTTTTAGCCGTTAAACCTTTAAGACTTGTGATACACTACTTTCTATTTATCCGTGGAATTACATTGCTATGATATATATATATATATATATATATATATATAACGTTTATTGTTAGCAATCATGAATTGTTGTTTTGCTACTTGTAGATACAATGACAATTATACTGGGTATTGAAGGAAGTGCAAATAAGTTGGGTGTTGGAATAGTGCAAGATGGTACAGTCCTTGCTAATCCAAGAGTAACGTATATTACTCCACCTGGAGAGGGTTTCCAACCGACAGAAACAGCTAGATTTCACCAATCTCATATCATTGAACTTGTTCGAAAGGCTATCAAAGAGGCAAAAATCGATCCATCTGAATTGAATGCTGTTTCTTATACCAAGGTCAGTTAGTTTTAAAAATATTCTAGTATGCACAGAATTGCTAGTGTGTGTGTGTTGTTAAGTAAGACTTTATAGGCAGTCGATTTTAGTTTTATTAATATAAACCCCTACCAATTTACTTCAGATAAGTTAACTGTTTTACTGAGCGTAGTTATACAATTAGTTATAATTGTTTTTCGAATGATTTGTTAATCATATGTTAGTGACAGACACTTACTACCTACATGAACTGGTGAATTACCGCAGTTTGTTTGATTGTCTATAAAGGTGCATTTGACAAGCGAATAAATTATCTTAGTCGATTGCGTTATTCTTTTTTATGTGTAGTAGTGACTCTGTTTGTACTTTAAACAATATCGTATGTCTGTGCATGTGGATCGTGTATATAAACCATTTGTATTGCTGTTGACGTTGGCCACTAGACTCTCAGATCACTTGAGCACGTGCTCATACCAACTAACTATATGAATCTCTTTTTTTGTGCGTTTGTGCAAAACATGCTCTCTTTTATATTTATAATTGCACAATTAGTTGTAATATAGACAACCATAGTAAATTTTCCATTGTGAATAAAAATTTCATTTTGATAAAGTCTCACAGTGTTATACAGTTATACTTATTGATGACGTTTCGAACACAATATATTGCTCATAATCATATCAAGTTACTCACACAACTTTCTAACTTCGTTCATATAATTCTATTATTTTTCATCGCTTGATTTGATTAGTAGTAGTATTTTTCACATCTATGGTACTGGTGGTGAGTCATTCCTGTTGCATGTGTTGGGTGTAGATTCGATAAACAAAGATTCAGTAGTCAACCTCTTTTTCCACCTACCCATATTACTTTTTAGAATTTTAATTCTCTCCTGCCACATTGTGTGGTTGTGTGTTAATGCATGCAGTACAGTTGCTAAATTTTTTCTAAATTCTAAAATCTTCGCGGGGTCAACCATTCTAACCTCAGCTAAATTCTTATGTTCTGACAATCTGACTACCTCCGATCTACTAGTTTGACCTATGTAGTTGACCTCAGTCACAATCGTTGCGAGGTTTTTTGTAAATTCTATTATTTTGTCTAATTGGGTCAACAGGGTCCTTTAACGTACAGAGCTTGTCCTACCTTAGTGAGTTTGTAGGTTTAAATGCCATCCTGATTCCTGCTTTGTTAAGAATACTACGTAGGGCCTCAAATGTCCCCTCCCCACTTATATGGTAAAACTGTAGATGCCTTATATTCTTTCTTATTTGCATTTTGATTATTAGTTTCACCATTATTTTCTATTTCGCTTTTGACATTTTTTGATCTTCCTAATGAATTTTATAGGATAGTTATTTAACACCAACGCTTCTTCTATCTGTTTCATTTCATCATTTAGGTTTTTTGTTGTACTACTTTGTACTATTGCTCGGTTTGTTAGACACTTAACTAAGCCAGCCTTTACAGACAACGGATGAGATGAATTGAAATCTAAGTATCTACTAGAATGTGTTGGCTTTTTACAAACGCTAGTGTGCAGTTTATCTTCTTCTGTTCGTTTTATTTTACAATCTAACATAGCTAATTCTCCTTGTTCATTTTCCGACTCAATTGTGAATTTTATTCCCTTAGCTAATGAGTTTATATGTGTGGAGAATCTAGAGATATCTTCTGTTTTTAACACTGTAAAAGTGTCATCTACATATCTATACTATATCTTTGGAGTAGGATTGAATGTATTGAGATCCATATTTTCCCTGCTATCCATGAAGATATCCGCTAGGATTGAGAATATTGGTGGTCTCATTGCTACATCTTCTGTTTGTCTATATATTATGCCCTGGAATTTAAGGATAGTAGATGTGAGGCATAATTGAATTCCTAAAATAACTTCCTCATCCAATTATTTGTTGGTTTACGGGGATTAGGTTGGTTTGAAGTTTGATGATGGATTAATATAAGGTAAAAAAAACCATCTAAGTCATAGTAGATAACGCTGGTACTTCGGTGGTTCAGCGGTAGAATGTTCGCCAACTATGCACGTGGTCCGGGATATGATTTCCGGCTAGCTCTCATCTTTACCTCCCTTAGTCGGCTGTGAACGCAACAAAGGGGGAAGTTTGGGCGTGGGTTTAGCAACCTCACTGAGTGAAAATGACTACTGCTACTGAAACTTGAAAGCTCCATCTTGAAGCCCTATATTCCACTGAGAACGTATTGGAATGAAAAATAACCATTGAAAGCCAGGGAATACTGGACAGTCGTTACATTCTGGTGCTTCATCAATACGCACCCATGACCCCACGGAGTAGTGAATCCACTACCTTCGGATTACGAGGCAGTCTTGTTGACCATTCAGCCACTACGACGAAATCCAACAGTCTGTTAATCCTAACTTCTATTTATATTTCCATTTAAGGTTGGTTAGGTATTGTATTTACGTGTTATGTTGAAAATGGGTTGTATGAAGCTTAAAAATCACTGCATACTTTTCATCGTTTCAAAATAAACTTGCAATAACTATCTTTGTGGTTTATTGTATCATTGTTTGCCAATGCATATGTAGTTATGCTATGCTAGAATTAAACTGTCACAATATCCGTCCTATTCTTAATAATATTGGAGGCGTGACTCATTGGCATAAGCACTCGGCTTTCAGCCAGTAAGTCATCGGTTCGGATCCCAGTCCACCAACTTCAACCTGGATAACTGGGTAGTACTATCGGGCCTCACTCGCTAAATGTGGCTTATAGCCGGGCACTGGCATCTATCTGAGTTCAAACTAACTATAAGTAATAGTTTTACCAACTGTCTAAAATATTACAGGTACATTTTTAGCGAATAGTATATATTGTACTAGGTTTTGTTTTTTGTGAATAAGTTATGCATCCATTGAAAATATTTTACATATTCTTTTCGTGATGACTTATTACTTAAACTAAATTGATAAGTACCGCTCATCTTTTAAACGTAGATATCTATAAAACTCATTTTCCTTATGCTCAGGGTCCTGGAATGGGAGCTCCGCTTTTAACTGGTGCTGTTGTTGCTCGTACTCTCGCCCAATTGTGGAACAAACCACTGATTGGAGTTAATCATTGTATAGCACATATTGAAATGGGTCGCCTTATTACCGGTGCAAAATCACCTATTATACTCTATGTCAGCGGTGGTAATACACAAATCATTGCTTTCGTTTCTGGTCGTTATCGTATTTTTGGTGAAACAATTGACATAGCATTGGGAAACTGTTTTGACAGGTTAGTTTGCATTAATTTGACCTACACCGTGTATTAAATGATTAATTATTCTCTTGAAAGGTATAGTCATAATACTAGTCAAGTGAAAAGTTACTGAATACTAAGAGCAAACTAGAGTGTGCTTTGGGTTCAAGTCAATGTTATTGCTAAGCTTCTCCAGTGAGATACGAGTATTTCGGCTAGGCATATACAATAACAAGCACTATCAACGAAAGAAATTTGAAAGAGGTCACTTTTCTCATTTAGCAACAAGGAAAACTGGGAACGAATCAACCAATAACCTATTGCCCAACAAATACACCGAAGAAAGTAGAGATGGAATGGGCAACACTCTGAGAAGACCGTTGAGTGACACCTCATGACAGGCGCTCGAACAGAACTGGAATGGGAAACGATGAGTTCGGTGTCACTTCGAGGGTGGCATAGAGGAGGTCGTTTAGGGAGGAGATGACAGCCTATGAGCAATTATATAGAGCAAGCTAAAGACCACTGCAGAGAACAGGATGAAATGGAAATGTGTTGTTGAACCCCTATATTCCACTTGGAACCTAAATGAATAATAATATATAGTTCATTATTGTAGTTAGCCTTATTTCATTTGAAAATACATTTGTTGGTTTTCGAATACTTACACTGACTTTAATGATAACAATGTATGCAAATATGTCTGGAGATATTTATCTGTTTTTTCGAGTTTGACACGGATTGATGTTAGTTAGAGAACCAGTGAAAACCAGGGAGTACTGGACAGCTGTTTCATCCTAGTGCTTGGGACTCATCGGCAGTACGCACCCACCGCCAGGGTTCGGTTACAAGGCAAGCTCATTTACCATTCAGCCACTGGGACCCATGAATTCTAACTTCTACCAATTCGTGATTATAGCGCGACCACTAACCAGTGTCATCGGCGGGAAGTCTGCAGAGGTCTTTGGAACCATCTTTAGACATTGTTTATGCTCGTTCACTCTTATGTTTACCCGTCTGGAAGTTTCTCCTACATATATGGCGTCACAATCCCAACAATTGATCTGGTACACACAGTTCTGTTGGTTGTCTTCTTTTATTTTTATCCTCAACCTTCACCAGTGATGAGCGTAAAGTGCCAGTTGCATGAAAATACACTCATGTCATGATTGTTAAAGATTCGCTTTATCTCATCCAATGTTTCTTTGTTGTGAGGAATCACCTCTGTACGAACCTAATTCTTAGCAACAGGTTTTGATTCATCCTTATCTTCACGTTTTAAATATCCTTTTCTGAAGGCTTTGGAATAATTATTTGATTCAAGAGTGGATTGAACCAATTTTAGTTCCCTCCTGATCTCTTCCTCCTTCATTAACTAGACGTTTGGCTCTGTTAATCAGATTCTTGGTCACAGTTACTTTGGTGGTAGAAATTGTCCAGTCCGTATCTGACTATTGCTATTCCATGTTTTATTTAGATTTGCTCGTATTGTCAATCTCTCGAATGATCCTAGTCCAGGTTACAATATTGAACAGTTGGCAAAACAAGGATCTAAATTTTTCGAATTACCTTATTCAGTAAAAGGTATGGATGTGTCATTTGCTGGATTATTATCATATTTGGAAGAACGTGCTCCTAAACTCTTAGAAACAGGTGAATATACTGTAGCTGATTTATGCTTCAGTCTACAAGAAACAGCTTTTGCTATGGTTGTTGAAATCACTGAACGAGCTATGGCACATTGTAATGCAAAGGTAAGTCTATTTTTTTACCTTCACGTTTCTCACTGGAACATAGAGCTTCAAGCTAGTGGCTTGAAGTTTCTGTAGCAGTGTCTATTTTACAGGATGGGGTTGCTAGCCTCATGCCCAACCTTTCCTCTTCACCAGCATTATTTCTGGTTTACCGAGGTAAAGGAGTGCGTCTGTGGCCGGGGATCGAACCCCGGACCATGTGCATGGTCAGCGAGCGTCTCAACCGCTATGCCACCGACGCATGCAATTTTCTCTTTTTTTGTCATTCAAATGGATTTATTTCACCAAATGTTTTGTAGTTTATTGAAGGGAAACGTTTTAAAATTTTGATTCATTTTGGTCAATTAAGTCTTTTGTTTTTCTCTGGAGGAATAAATCTTACTTTCTGCGTTTCTCTCACTACTGTCTTCTCCACTATTCGAATAGTACTTTAGTGGTTAATTTTTTGGGTGAATAACAACAGTCCATCTAGCTACAAATCAGTCAGTTCGAAGAAATTCAGAATCAAGTATTGCCCATTAACTTCAAAAGCAAAATAAAACTTTTTTTGATTGCACACTAGTCAGTAGCTAGTGTAATGTGTCTAGTCCTATCTTCGGTGCAGACTGAATTCTATCAGTCATGCTTGCAATGTGGCCACCATACTAGATGGCTCGCCATTACGGTGCACTGTGAATTGTTGGTATTAGATGGATGGAGGTAATCGGCAGGAAGCCTTGGACCTAGGTTTCGTAATAGTTGGCACTCATCAGCAAGGCTTATCTGCAACCTTGAAGGAACTGATGTCTGAGATTCGAACCCGCGCAAGCATGACTGATAGAATTCAGTCTGTACCGAAGATAGGACTAGACACATTACACTAGTTACTGACTAGTGTGCAATCAAAAATATCCAATATAGTCCTACAGGAAGTCAGTCGCGAGCCTGAATAGCTCAGTGGTAACGTCTCTGACTGCAGCACTGGGTGACGCGGGTTCGAATCTCAGAAGGGACATGAGTTCCTTCAAGGTTGCAGATACGCCTTGCTGAAGAGTGCCAACTAGCACGAAACCTAGGTCCAAGGCTTCCTGCCGATTGCCTCCAACCATCTAATATCATCGAACAGTATATTTGCATGATACGTTCGAATAAAGGTTACGTTAACGCCATTCGTATGCTCAAAATTGCATCTATATTACGTAATCAGAAGTTGACGGACCAATCAATTGAGCAGTTAGACATTTCGCCTGCAGGGAATATTGATTTAACTTTAGGTTGTTCTCTCTGTTTGATGTTTAGAAACTGTATAGAAACTTACTACAATCTGAAGAAAGTCTGACAAAAAGCTTTTGTTTGAATTCTTTCAAACCACTGACTGTCTGTCTATGCAGTTTTATCAACTGAGGTCCCTTTTAATGAAGTAAGTTAAGTACTATTAAAAGTATTAGGGTGAGAATTGTTTTTCCAAATATCAAATAATTCACTGACAGTGAACGCTTTCATTTGCTAGAGTAAGCTGACCAATCAGTGCGTAATGTATTCTCAAGCACAAAATAGTTAACCAATCAGATCATCATTGTCACCCCGTTTTTTGAACTAAAAAGATCAACTAATCACAACCAAGTGGTTTGCACATGCTATATTAAAAAACACAAAGCACTGAATACTCCTTTCATAAAATCGATAAGGAAGTGATAATCAGTCAGATTTAAAATGCGCCTTCATAATCACTAGTTGATCAATCAGATTGAAAATACATTCCATGTTAATTTGTTTATTAGATATACCACACAGTATGTGTGGTATATCTAATAAGTCGGAGCTCTTCATTTTTTTGTGACTAGTTATTACAATAATCAAGACATGTGATTTGTGGAGAAGTAAGCTATGAATTTTGAAGAAATCTTCAAGGTAATATATTTTGGCTGACTTTGTAAGTGGTAATGAATACATGGTTCTTTAACCCACTGTGCTTGTTTCCCAGTGATTAGTTCCCAAGTTGATGTTCTACTCAACTGAATGCTATCAAAGTAGACTGTGAGCATTCAACAGACCGCGCTCCTTTGTGGCCTAAATAGACTTCATTTATTTTCAGATAAATTCTAAACGAATGTATTGCCATCAAGATTTCCATTTAAATGATTCTGAACCAGCATTGGACATTTCACAGAGCAAAGATCTAGTGTCTAACAGTCGATCATTTTGCCAGTCCTATCTTCAAATATTCATATTTATACTGGATATTTTGTCGCTATGTGTAGTTTTTATGTTTTTCTATTCCTAGGAGGTTCTCATTGTCGGTGGAGTTGGTTGCAATGTTCGTTTACAAGAAATGATGGGTTGTATGGCTGAAGAACGTGGTGCCAAATTATTTGCAACCGATGAACGATTTTGTATTGATAATGGCGCCATGATAGCACACACTGCATGTTTGATGTTTAATGCTGGTTTGCGTTTCCCTCTGAACGATTCTATCGTCTCTCAACGCTATCGTACAGATGCCGTCGATGCAGTTTGGCGTGATGACTGACCTCAGTTGTATATTACTTGGAAATATTTTTTTACATCAAGAATATAATAACTGCTATTTTCAACTCTTTTTTTTTCTCATAAACACTGTTCGACTTTTGTATATACTACGCTTATAATTGATCTAGAAATGTTGACACATTCTACTATAGTGTAAATTAATAAGCACTTATAAACTTAGGATCGAGTGTAAGTGTACAAAAGTATACTATAATTGTGGTTGGTAAAGTATGCTTAAATTTATAGTATCCATTTATTCCCTCCAATGAGATTTTTAATATTTTGTCATACACACTTCGGACAAAACTGTGGTTTACTAGAAGTGTATTCCAGTTTACCAGTTGGATATGATTTCCATGTGTCAGGAGTCATGTTGATCAGGGCAGTTTTTTTTTCTTCTAATGACGGATGGACATCAGCTACAAAATCACTAGATACCGAAAACACTAATTGTCTCTTAGGAGTTTTCAGCGATACGAATCCATAATTTTTATGTGAGGATTATATTCCACAGTGATTTTATGACATATCTGATAATCAGATGCAATGCAGTTTTCTGTGTTCCAACCAACACACTTTGTGTCTGCAAGCTACACTGGTTACTATCCACCGTCTCTATATATCTCTCTCTCTTTCTCTATTTGAGGTTTAGGAGAATTCGCATGACTCTAATACTCAAATTTACAATTAAGTTTGATATTTATACCTAATAATTACTTGCTGTTATAGTGAAAACCAATAGTTTTCCCTATATATTTAAATATATGACCATGGATACAAAATCAATTGGTTCCAATTACTCTCTGAGTAATTGTCACTGTGTCATACTTGTATGTTTGTTATATGATGATAGTTTGAATTCAGATGTACAGTTTTCTGAATAAGATGTATGATGTTACTGTTTGATAATATTATTTTCTATGGAAACTTTTTCATATTCTTCAAAGTTTATTAATAATAAAAAGTATTTATCACCTTCATTCGTTTTTCTTTTCTGTTTCTGCTTGCAACTTCTTTTTCAATAGAATTCAAACTTGTTTTCTGTAAATCTTAAGAGATTTTTAAAGTGGATAAGTCATAATCTTCAAGAACATATGTAACTTGATTACCAGTTGAATATCAGCTTGATTATGCTGCATCATGAATGGAAACAAAACTACCCAAGTCACGTTTTTGTACAAAATTAGCAGCGATGATACATTCTATCCTCCTCTTACACCTTGAGCAGCAATCTTCGTATATTTGGCATGCGATTCGCCCCTGTAAAATGTAAGATGCTGCTACAGGACTGGACTACGTCTACCCCTAGCTTAGTGATAGGGAGTGAAGTGATAGAACATGTTGACCACTTCACCTATTTGGGAAGTTGTATCAGCACCAATGGATTGATTGGTGACGAAATCTCAGCACGGATCCAAAAAGCTCGGGCTGCTTTCGCTAACTTACACCGTCTCTGGCGTAGGTGTGACATCCGGCTGTCAACCAAGGGACGTGTGTACTGCTCAGCAGTTCGCTCCGTCCTTCTCTATGGCGGTGAGACGTGGCCATTGAGAGCGGAAGACATGAAGAGATTGTCTGTTTTTGACCACAGATGTTTACGATCTCTTTCTCACGTTAGGTGGTATAATAAGGTAAGTAATGTTGACGTTAGGCGTAGAGTGTTGGGCAAAGAGGGAAAATCACTCGAAGAGGCTATGAAGTTACATAGATTGAGATGGCTAGGTCACGTGCTGCGCATGCCTAACCATCGCCTCCCCCAACGGGCATTACTAGCTGATATAGGTGCAGGTTGGAAAAGAGTAAGTGGTGGCCAAACAAAAACATGGCATCAATCCATGAAATCCTTGACAGTTAAACTGAGTCAGGTAGGGAGATGCAGACTTCCGGGTTGGGGCCCTCGGGACTCTAAGAATCAATGGCTGAAGACAATAGGTGACATGGCTCAAAATCGTTGTCAATGGCTTACGCAGATGTATTCAGTCTCTGTAATCTTTCATATTCCTTTCTACCATTACTCATTCTGTTTCACTCTTATACTTGTCAAAACTCTATTGATTCTCTTCCCTCATTTTCTTGTCTACCTTTGTGTGCTATTTGGAACGTGGCAACTCGAACTGCTGCACTTTGGTGCCAAGTTCTGTGTTGAATCCAGCCAGCCATCATCCTCTTCAATAACACAAATTGGTTACTGTCGCTTTCTGAGAACTACTTGGTGGTAATTTGGTGATGAGAATTATGGATTATTCTTAGGGTTCAGTAAAGGGTTTTTTCTCATTTTTAATGCAGCTGTTATATAATGAATGTACAGTAAATATTCAGTGTTGCATATTCTTCTTTACTTTCATCGTCCTTCGTTTCCCTATTTGTTAATCTAAAGGTACTAACTGGCACTGAAGCTACAAGTTCTACAGTGATGCAGTAGCTTACCTTTTGAACTTTAAACAAAGAGTCTCGTTTTCTAAGCCTACTCACCTTACCGACCAAGTACTATTGTCATCCCTTATACAATAGGCTTGGTCTAGAGCACTAACCTATACGTTGTCGTAAAATGACATTTAAATTATCTATAACGCCTTTTTTATAGGTTATATGGGTATTCGAGGATTGTGGTCTTACGTGAACAGCAACAGTGAAAACTTTGTTCCATACGAGTTGCATAATGAATTTTTAATAATTGATGGGGAAAACTTTGCAACTCATTGCTATCGTAAAGCAGCATTCCGGTGTCAATATGGAGGAGAGTACTTAATTTACAAAAGTTATGTCGAATCAATTATAGAGAAATTTCGGCTTTGTCGTGTTGAACCAATTTTTGTCTTCGGTGGATGTCATCCTAAAGAGGTTTGTTTTTCTTCTTTTTCTTCTGAAGTTTTATATCTCTTCTATTTTCATAATGTACTTCGCTTGTCTCTTACAAATCTACAACTACGGCCATAGGTTCGTTTACTCCCCCAGATATAGTACTGCACGAAAAGTTTGATTAAGAACTATGACCAAATCAACAGAGAGATACAAGGAAAATAGGGCCTCTCGAAAATCCCTTACAATTTTAATTTGTAGCACTTCATGCCAAACTGATCAGGAAGAATAAAGTCAGTAGCATCAGCGTTGATCAAATTGTGAGAAGGAATAGTTGAAGAAATATATGAAAACGTGATGAAATGACAAAGGCATCATCTGAAGCAAAACAAAAGGTGAAATTTTTGTGCTCATAAGATGTATTTTGATTCGCATTGTCAAACTGTTTAGGTTGAGTGTTATGCAAACCCATCTCTTCCATAGAATAGAGTTGTATGTATTTATTCAAATTTTGACCAAGTTCCAGCTTCGATAGAATTGCTGGGAAAACAATAGGTATCGGCAGGTAACAGCCTAATCATTACATCACGAACCAGCGAACATGTAATTTACCACCTCATAACTAAGTATCACTCATTTAGTGGATACATCACACAGATTGTGTTTCATGCTTACCAGTGAGCTTATGTATTGTAAATGAACAGTAGGATAGAGCTTGTTTTTCCACAGTATGGTTTCACTGATTCCGCTCGCTATGTGTAACACTGAAAATTCTGTAAATTAATATCAAATTTTGTTTGTTTTCTAACATAGGGATCAAAACTAAACACTCTGTTGAAGCGAAGTACTGAAAACCTGAAAAAGCTATCAACAATGCCTTTGAACAATGCCACCACTTCTGATTCTGATCTTTTGAATGTTGATATATTACCTCGACTTTGTCGATATGTTCTTGTGGAAATTCTGCGAGAGTTTTCTATTCGTTACACAGCCTGTGAGCGTGAGGCTGATCTCTGTGTTGCACAACTTTCTATTTATTTGAATTGTCCAGTTACTAGTGGAGATTCTGACTTTTTTATATATCGACCACTGGAAAATAATCAAGTCTACAATTTTATTCCTCTCTCGTCGTTTTCCTTTGATTGTAAACGGAAATATTCCCCGTGTGCTGCATGTTATCGTTCCGGTACTCCATGTTCTTACATTCAATGCTCACTTCTAAATAAATCTGGACCGTTTTACAAACTTCAGTATCCATTATTACCAATTTTCGCTGTTCTTTGTGGGAATGATATGGCGTCAGATATACGTCTTCCTTCTGCAATAATCACTTTAACTGAAAGTTTTACTGATAAAATCGCGTCATTCTATCAAAGACGTATTCATGCTATATTTAACTGGCTTTTAAGTTTCCATGGTAATGTTGAACAACCTTTAACTGCTGTTTTATCACTTTATAACGATCAGGAGTTGGATAATATCATAGAAGTAATACGTCTGGGAATTTTGGAATATGTCTTCAATAGTCCTGTTGAAGACTTAGTCATTTCACTGGGTTTAACAATTAGACATCATGCTTCATTCTCTACGTCATCGACAAGCACATTTGATAAATCATATAGACAGGTTAATATAAATTCACGCCGATCTAAAGTAGAAACTGGTGTAAACTTATTAAAAACCCTATTATGTTCTCCAGATTTTATCTCAATGAAAAGTAATGATGAGACAAGTATATTTTACCGCTGGCCAAAGGAACTAACAAGACGATTTAAACAATTGGAATTAGCTCCAGGTTTGTTGGATTCTATGTATGTACGCAATGGTAGTGTTTGTCGTATTACTATCGAAGATTTAACGATTCCACATCCGATTCACCATTGTGCATCCAGCTTACAAATCGCTCAGTATGGACTTATATTAGGATTGGAAAAACACTTAAATGCTTGTAAAAAGTTGTGCGGAATTGATAATGACTACGTCATCGAATATTGTAGAAAGTCATGTAATGAAATTGTAAAAAAGATGACCTTAGTCAAACCCATAATTCCACCAAGAAGTAACGGAGCGCAATATTCATTCCTATCGTTCTTTTCACAATTTCTTCGTGTAAATTTAGACAGGTATTGTAGATCTTCAGAAATGCAAGGTTTGGCAGTATTATTAACTCTGTGGTTCAAATCTTCTTCTTCTACTCAGTATCGAGCAACTGAAATTCGTCAATCTCCAGTGGGACTAGCATTTGCTTGTTGTACAATAGCCGTTAAGTCAAACTGTAACTTACTTAGAACAGAAAAAAGAAATGGGAATTACACTGATGATATATGCATGCATATTAATGATTGTACTGATAAGGCAAAGTCGATTTACTGCCAGAACAATTCACCTTCTTTTTGTGTTTCATATGTACATCAGCTAAATGAATTACAGACTATGGCTGTTGCGTTGACTCATTTAGTTGCACTTCTTGATGTACTTTGTCCATTTTATCTATCAAATATGAATAATAATAGCATTGATCATTTATGTGTTAAAAATCCTTTTATAAGTTTTTATCCTCTTTGGATGTTATTTTCTAGTGGACGTCTTTTATATTGGATTAGTCGACTGCTTCAAAATGTAAGGCCTAATGATCGTTTTCGTATAATTCTTGATGAATGGCTTCCTAGATTGCTTATAAGAAAAAATTCTTATAATGAACACTTACGTTATGCTCGAGATGAATTTATTAAATTGTTTACTCTGATTGATAATCTAAACAAATAATCTTTTAAATTCCTATATATATTTTCTTTTCTTATCTTTTGTTATTATTTAAACTTTACTAATAATATTACATGTTGAGTAAGTCTATGATCAACGGATGAAGTAAATTGAGAGACTTCTTTGTATATAATCAGATTCAAATCATCTGACTTGTTTTAGAATGTGAACTTACGCCTCGGAATACGTTGTACTTTTCGACTATGTGCACATATCTGTGTGTGTGTGATCGTTGTGTTATACAAACTGTTGTAAATCTATCATCTAAAGGCACATGCTGAGTCTACGATCTGCGCTTTCACTCATATACATTATTTTATTTCACACACACATGCATTTTCAGTAAATACAAATTCTCTTACTGCATTCATGCCAACCTGTCCTTTATTCCAACATAATAAATATTAATACAAAAGTGTTTATATGAACTAGGTAGTCAGTCATGGTGAATGTGTAGGAAGAATGTGCATACTATCTTCATTCAACTTGATTTCAAGGGTGAAAGCATTCCAGGAAAAATTAATTGAACATGTCACTACCCAGAGCCTGTCCCTCACCTAAGTTGGTTCCTGTTTGTCGAACAACTTGCTCTTTGGTGCCATCAAAAGTCAACAGATACCCTTCTCATGTCAACTCCAACTGTATGTACAAATTTACATGCATCTGCGGGAGCAGTTATAATGGGAGAACTGAAAGAAGGGCATACCTCTAATTTTCTGAACATGTACCAAAACGCCTCGAGTTCAAAGGGGACAAATGCTTTCAACAGTGCGATTGCTAGGCATCTCCCTGACATGCGTCATGAGGTGGACGTCGCAAGATAGTTCGAACTCATCAACGCGCAAAAGATTTCAATGCTCCTCAAGTTTGCGGAAGCAATCTCCATCAAGCAGCTGGAACCTGATTAGTACGATCAGAAAGAAGCGATTATCAGTTTTTCCTTGCTCTGGTAACTGGATGTTTGCGTTCGTCCCTTTCATATCAATACACAAGGCCAAATGATTCCATGTTCTACCACTAACTTTCTTTGTAAGAAACCATAACCGGTAGATTTCTTTAAATAATGAAGATGATTTGTAGCTCAGGTGGATGATATTTAATTAGTTGTATTCTCTGAACTGGTTGATTTAATTGTGAAGCTTTCGTCATCCTTCTAAGCAACATCTTCAGCGCAGAATTTAGTATGAAATGAACTCATTTAAATTCTCCATTGAATGATGTAGATGTATCTCTTGGCGAACACTGTCGTGACTGGTTGTCAATTTACGTCTCAATTGATCAGTTTTGTTCGGAAAAAATCCAAGGAAAGAATATCTAGTTCCATAATTTCCTCTTCTGCCTCTACAATTATATATATATATATATATCCACGGAATGTTCTAGAATAGTCATCAGTAACAATGTTGGTGTTTTTAAATAATATCGATTTGTTAAGTAAGATCAATGGAATTATGGTTCACTGAAGATGCACAAATTATAATAAGCATACAAATATAATAGCAGATAGAATATCAAATAAAATTTAGGAAATTTCCACAACAAATTGTGGATCATTAGAACTTCTATGACCAAGGTACGGATAGTGTCTGAGTGAGCTTCTTTTTGATACATAATTTAGGTTTCTTAATATGGTTCCCAATGGCCTCAGCAATATATAGTAGACGAACTCTAAAGGTGAAGTTAAGATTAGTTGGTATGCAGTAAATGACTTTGAAAGCCTGATTGACATCAGTCTTGTGTTCTGTATCCACAAGATGAGATAGAATAGCACTATGAATGGATTCTGTGTGTCCTTTACTTCAACCACAAAGGGTGATGTTTGATTTCAGACAAGAAACACGCCTAATTGTATGGCTTATGTAACTGGCTCTACAGGAGTATTTATCTTGGTCATCAAAGTTCTAATTATCTTCAATTTGTTGTGGAGATTTCCTAAATTTTATTTGATATTCTATTTGTATGCTTATTATAATTTATGAAGCTTTAGTGAAGCGTGGTTCCATTGATCTTATTTAACAAATAGATATTGTTTAAAAAACAATATAGTTACTGACGTCTATTCTAGAACATTTGGTATATATACATATATAATTGTAGAGCCAGAAGAGGAAGTTATAGAAAAGGATATGCGTTCGTTTTATACTAAAAGCTGCGATGAAGATGTTGTCTAGAATGGCATCGAAAGTTTCGGAATTAAGTCGTCCTAGGATGACATGGAGGAGATCGTGTGAGAAGGAGATGAGAGATTGTGGGCAACCGTGGTTCAAGCTGAAGAGGACGGCAGAAGATAGGACAAAGTGGAGATGTGTTGTTGAAGCCTATTCCACTCGGAACTCAAGGGAATAGTATTAATATTTCAGAGAACCCAACCATTTCAATTGTTATTATTAGCATTGTATGAGTATATTGATTCTTTTGATAAGTGAACTCTCTGTTTAGATATGTTAAATTTTTTTCTCTTCGTAGTCTTAATAATGTCTTTGGGCTTTAAGCATCTGATGAGAAGCTAACGAATTGGTTGCATGTTATTCTGTAGAAACTCTTGTTCTTGCTTTGTTCAAATTTGTCTTTATTTTCAGTATCGTGCTGTACTATAGTTGCATATATATTAACCTGAGTTTCACAATTCATAAAACCAGTAATTCTTTTGTACAGTCGTTATGAGACTATAGTTTTTTTTTCTTGTCTGCCCCAACAAACAGACACATTTACAACTTAAATTATTTAAACATTTGTATGGATTTATTATTGTTTCGATTAGTATCACTAATTCGCATTCCTGAACTTTAATTCTATTACCCACATTGGTTTCAAGTGTTTAAAACTAAAACTTTTTTACGTAACTGTTATGTCTGATAAGGAATTACCGAAAATACACATTTACTTAAATTTTGTTCTACAATTACCATAATGGGAACATTTGAATTCATTTAGAAGTGCACACAGAGACCCATTGTTTACAGTGTATAACATCAGTAATTGTAATAATTTTGCTTTAGTTATTATTTATAACTCAGACGTGATTAGACAAAGATTCTAGATAAGAGATATGTCCTTCCACTTGTATATACTTCTGATATTTTAATTTTGATTATTTTTCTGAAAAATTTCGGAATGTTTTGCTGAGCAAAACGTAAGAGTTATTTATTTCAATGTCACTGAATTTATAGAAATATAATTTTTTTTTGTGTCTATGAACAGTCAAGTTGAAAAAGAGTTAGATCAAAATAATGACATCAATCTATCGAGGGTTGGTCTGATTCAGGGAACTTTGTAAGGACAACAGCGCTAGTACCTTTAGAAATTTTTGAATCAACATTTCAAAATTCTCTCTGAAATGAACGGAATATTCCCATATTGAGTCATAAGAAAAGGACGTAAACAGCGACAACAACAATTTATTTTCATAAGTTGAACAATCGTAATTATATTTAACAAAGAATTCATAAGACCAATCAGATACTCGTAGATTTTTCCTAGAGGACTTATTACATGTCACTTTTATCCTCGCCTTCTATTAATCTTAGACGTTCCCTCTTTGTTAGGTATCATTAGATACTAGAAGTGTCTTACCATTTATACATATCTTTAATGTGTTAGTCTGGATTATTTCCCTGAAGAAGTTAGGACTAGGTTTAAATCTCTTATTCTTGTTGTTACTTTCGAACCCCAACGGGGACCATTGGAAATGCAGTGAGTACTGAACAGCTGTTTCTCCTTAGTCTGGTACTCCTCACCAGTACTCACTCACTGGAGTTCCAACCTGGGACCTCCCTTTGACAAGGCAAGCTCCTCGTAAACCATTCAGTTTCTGGAAAGCTATGCAATGGTTCATGAATTCCAATTCCTGCCATTTCGCGATATATATGACGCAACTGCTAGCCAACATCATGGACGAGTAACTGCCGTCTTGACATACTTGATGGACCCAGCTGGTTACTTCTGACTAGAATTCCAGGTAACGTTCTGTATGCAGTCACTCGCTAGTGAGCATAGAGTGATTTTCAAGTGTTGGTTTGAAAGCGTTTGATTGGTCACAGGTTTGGTCATAAACTGATATCAATTAGAGGATCACTGGAAAACCAGGGTTGTTGGATCAAGTCCCAGTGGCTGAATGTTCAAGACTTCTTGTACATCGAGTCAGTTAATCCTGTGGGTGTGTACTGATGAAGAATCACAAACGAGGACGAAACGGGTGTCCAGTACTCTCTAGTATTCCAATAGTTCTTTAGCTGATTTCAGCTGGTGGATTGAACTGCATCTACCATTGAGTTGATATGTTTGAAAAATCTACTTATATCCTGCGTTTTTAACACCATGAACGTGTCATCTACACACCTCCACCATACTTTGGAGGTGAGGCTAAACATTCCAATCACTAACTTTTCCTTCTGTCTATAAATATGTCTGCCACAACTAAGTATATCGTTGACCTCATAGCAGCTTCTATTTGTTTGCATATTTTTCGTTGAAACTTAAATATTGTAGAAGTCAGACATTACTGCTCTCCTTGCATGATTTCTCCTGGTGGGTGCTTTGGTTCTAAATCTAAGTTTTCGCTCAAAAATAAGTTCCTTCCTCACCAAATCTACGACCATGTTTTATAGTATTTTGGTATGTTAACTGACGATATCGAAAATAGTCTGTGTTTTTTCGGTTCATAAGAATTAGTAAGTCTTGATTGTGAATATTTCCTTATCGAACCTATAAACATAAGTAAATGTTTAGACAATTCATAAGGCGGAGAATTTCCACAATCAACTCTGAATCTAATCCGATATATTGATTTATGAACTGTAGGAACACCATACATCCTAGTGAGGTTATAAATTTTGGGCATTAAATTGAATTGTTTAGATTATCCTGGAAACGGTTTCATCCGTCGTACAAGGTCCGTTATGGCTTTCTGAACTTAATTCATGACAGCGTCTATTGGTTACCTAATTTATTCATACGGTTGTTCTTTTGTGAGTATTAACGTTTTGCAAATGGTCAGATTTGTCTAGTTGCACCGTGCAGTTGTCTCCCTCTCTGATTTTGCAATCGCTGTGCCTTTGCCATTCTTAAGATTCTTTAGTGCTTCTCTTCCTCGCTTTGTTAAGTTATATTTTCTTTCCTGTTGTTTTAGTGCTAGGTGCACACTGCACTTGTTTCATTTATTGCATTTAGTGCTATTTCTATTTTTGGAATGACATCTTCCGGTTCCAAATTATCTCCTGTTGCTTTGAAATTTAGTCCCTTTTCTAATACACTTATTTTTGTAGGACTTAAAACCTTTTCTAGGATTGATAACCCACTCTGACCTATCGATCATCGACGATGTCTTCTCGGGCAAGGAATTCTGTCATTGCTTTGTTGAATTTCTTGTTGTGTATATTT